GCAGCGTCGGGGCCAAGTTCTGGGGCGCGGAACCGGCCAGGAGCGGTACCCGGAACCCCTCGCCGCGCCGACAGTGGGTCTCCGAGGACTGCGCAGGGCCCGGGTCACCACCTGCTCCTCGGCTCGGGAATGGAGAAGGGTTCGTTTGTCTAGAGAAAATTTGTCGCGTCTGTTTTTCCTCCTTTTTATTTAAAAAGATGTCTTTCCAGACAGCCCCCCTTCTCGCTGGGCAAAACTGGGCTTGCGGAGCCAAATTTCGTTTTAAAGCTGGTCTGTAGGCCTGGAGCAGGGCTAGGCCTCTTCTTCGGAAAGCAGGTCCGAGAAGCCCAAAGGCGCCGGTCAAAGTCAGAGAGCTAGCCCGAGTGGGGTGTCATTGCCCAGGAGGCGGAGGGAGACCGAGTGGCCCTGGGGTCGGCAGAGTGTGAAAGCAGGCGCTCCTGACCTCACCGGTCTGCCCTTGTGCAGCGGGCCTAGCCTGAGCTGAGCGCCTGTCTTCCACACTTTTGCTTGGCCTGCTCCCCCCTCCAGGACAGACCACCCTGGGCTGTAGGCAGGGCCGGGAGGGAGGTGTCTGCTTTGCAGCCTGCCTATCTGGGAGACCCGTACCTGCCACCCTTTCTCTTTAGCCCAAGTCTTCACAGACACTTGTCGCTGAATTGCAGTCACAGGGACCACAGCTGGCTGTGGGGCGGTTTCCCAGCCCGCTCCTGAGAACCTCGCAGGTTTAGAGACAGTGCTGGACACGGAGCTGGGGAGGAGGCCCGGCAGGGAGCCTCTGCAAGCCCAGGGCCTGGACCTCGGGAGAGTGGGGAGAGTGTGGAGTCTGTGCTGAAGGAGGGCCCGGTCAGGACTCAGGACTCACCACATTTAACAGAAGGGTGCTTCTCCTCCAGAGGTGAGGAGCTTCCCAGAAGCTGGTGAGGAGTATGCTTGAAGCAATTGAATCACAATCATAAAAGAACATTTTTTTTGAGAGGTTTTTGCTAGGACACGTGTGCTCACCAGAAAGACAGAGAGAGAGAGACAGACAGAAAGCGAGAAATCAGCCCCCAGAAGAGAAGGCCATGCTGTAATCCCTTCTCTTCTGGTCTCCTCTTGGGAGTGAGTTTAAGCCCAGAGGTCCCGGACTAGAACCTCGGTCAGCTACATGGGAGTCCAGTGACATAGCCACTACGCCAACTGCTGGTCCTGAGAACATTTCTTTTTCTTTTTAAAGGAAGACACTATATAACCATTCTTGCCTTCGGAGAGAGAGAGAGAGAGAGATGGAGAGCGTTTTCTCAGCAGGGAGGCAGAGGCCTGTGCTCTGCAGTGGAGAGGGAGGGAGGGAGACACAGTGTCAGGCACTCTTAAACTCTTTTTGGTTCAAAGGAGTGCCTGTCTCAGTCCATGTGCAGAAGTGGTCAGGATGTAACCTACAGGAGCTCCTGGGCCACAGAGCAGGCCCAAATAGAGGCCCCCCAGCCTTCCCCAGGGGGCCGGGCTGTTGGTGGTAGGTGGTGCAACCCCACACACGTGTCAGGACTTGGCAGTTGCTGGCTTGAGACCTGGGCTGTTTAGCCAGCTCCAGGTAATGAAAGTTGTTGCAATGGCTCCAGATTGACAGCTTCTAGTCAGCAGGGGGTCACTGCAGGAGGTCAGTGGCTTCCCATCCCTGCCCTGCTCTGCCCTGCCCCTGCGGGAGCCAAGGTGTTTGTTTTGGGGGAGAACAGCTTTCTACTCCAAGCTGGCTGTGATGGTTTTTATACTTCCAGGGGTCAGGGGTTCCTTGCGGAAGTGGTGGAAGGTGGCCACTTAAATAAATTGGGAAAGGTGAGCAGGCTGGGGTTTAGTGGAAGGGGTGGGGAGCTTTTGGAGGTACACCGGATCTAGGGCCCTGCTTCCCTCTGCCTCGGATGGGGCAGGATTACCCTGCCTTGGGGATCTCAATGGGGGCCAGGCACCTCCCCTCCAGATTCTACAAAGCCTGACCCAGGCTCCCAGCCCACTGACCTGGTGCTTCTCTGGCCTCTCCGCAGGGTACAGCACGGTCACCTTCGACGGGACGCCCAGCTATGGCCACACGCCCTCGCATCATGCCGCGCAGTTCCCTAACCATTCCTTCAAGCACGAGGACCCCATGGGCCAGCAGGGCTCGCTGGGTAAGCACTGGAGTGAAGTGGGGGCCTTCTCTCCATTCTCCATAGAGTCGCTCCCCCCACTTTTCAGCTCACAGCCAATTGGGGAAGGGAGGACAGGGTGTCTAAAGGAACCTTGGAGATAATCAGCCCGATTTCACTCTGTTTAAGAAAAGGCTGGGTCTCCCTCCATCCCAAGTATGTCCCAAGTACGTTCGGGACAGCGCCACTTGAAAGACCATGGTGCACGGGACCGGAGTCTGACGACCCCCAGAAGCCAGCGTCCAGCAGATTTGGGGCCCCTCTCAGCACGTTCACCCCCACCCCTGCCCGCGGCCTCGAGCCCCCAGCCTTGGGGCGCGCTCACTGTGTCCCTGGCTCTCTCTGCAGGCGAGGAGCAGTACTCTGTGCCGCCCCGCGGTCGCCCGCCTGCCATACCCCCGCCGACAGCTGCACGGGCAGCCAGGCCTTGCTGCTCCGGACGCCCTACAGCAGGTAGGAGCGCGGCCCGGGCCGCAGAGGGGCGCGCAGCCCAGGGCGCGGGACGTTGGGCGGCGCAGCGGGGACCGCAGCGGGGACTGCGGGGTGCATGGCCCCGGGGCGGAGGGCGCCGCTACTCTCCTCGGCTACTGCAGGTATATGAGGGCGGCCTTCCCTGCCTGGGCTTCCAGCAGGGCGCGAGGGAGCGTGGCTGCCCTTCGAAGCCGCACAACCGGCGCCTCGAGAGCTGCTTTCCAAGGGTCTTTGGCGGGAGCCATTTAACTTCCTGGAACCCCAAGACGAGAGTCCGCCCCACTCGGTTCTCCTCGATCCCTCCTCGCCCGCTGCCCACGCGGGCAGACGACCCCGAGGGCGCACCCGCCTGGCCTCGGCCATTCGCGTCCTGCGAGGTTTCAGGCGCTGCGCGCACTGCGCTCCGTGGCCCGGTGCCCCGGCCCCGCCGGCCCTCGGTCCAGTCTGTTTCCCCTCCAAGCTTTTTCCTGGTCCCATCTTCCTTTTCTCACCTCTCTCGCCCCCCCACTCCCCAATTCACTCCTCAACTCTGGGTGACCTCGGCCGGCGGCCGTCTCCGATAGGGTTGCCTGGTAACTGCGGCAC